GGAGGCGCCGGGGCAGGCGCCGCGTTCGCCGCCGAGCCCGGGCGTGGCGGGGCCGCCCGGCCGAGCCCGCCGCGCCCCGCACGGCTCCCGCGGCGGTCCCGGGGCGCGGCCGGGGTGGCATCGGGGTCGCGCCGCATCCGCGCCCCGCGCCGGGGATGCTCCGCCACCGCCGCCGCGCCCGCTCCGCAGTGCGCGCAGCTCCGCGGAGCCCCCGCGGGCGATGCGTCCCCGCGTCCCGCCCGGCCCGGCCGCCGCCTTACCCCGCCGCGGGGCCGGGCCTGGCCGCCGCCGCCTGCGCGCCGCTCCGCGCCCGAGCCCGGCGCCGCCCGCCGCCTGCGCGCCCCTCCGCGCCCCGAGCCCGGCTGCAGGTGGGTGCCCGGCGCGGCGGCTGCGCAGCGCGGCCCGGCCTGCCGGGCACGCCGGGACTCGTAGTCCGGCGGCGGCGGCTGCCGCGGGCACCGGCACCGGCCCGAGGGCTCCCGCAGCAGCGGCCCTCCCGCCCCGGCCAGGCCACCCTCCCTTCCCCCTGCTCCCTCAGCCCTCTGCTTCTGTCTGCCCCAAGCCTGCAGGTGAGATCCCACTAACCACGAACTCCCTGTCGCCTCTGCCTTGGCATGATGCAGCCTGAGCCTTCCCCTCACCTTGTGGCTCGCAAAGGCTGCGCTGTGCTTTGGGCGCTCTGCCAGCCCGGCCACCGCCCCTGCCTCAGGAACAGCTCTGCCCGCACTCCCTGCAGGGGTACCCGGTCAGCTCCGGGCACGTGTCGGCAGCTGATCCCACAGAACACGGTCTGCTCAACACCTGCTGCAAACTGAGCCAGCCAAACAGGTCCTGCAGCAGAAACCTGCTGGCCCTCACCCTGAACCAAGATGTGTCACCCCAGGGAGACAGTTTTGGAGTAGAGGGTGCTGGGCCCCGAGACCATTTTGATATTTTCCCTTTCTTCTGTTAATTAGTGTTGGCAATTCAATTTATATTTGTTCTATTATTCTATAGTAAGGTTAACTATCAGTTGAAATTATATGTAACATCATTTGAGTGAACCCCTTTTAATTAAGCATGTCCATAATTTAATTTATCAGAATGCTTTCATTGGGTGTTGTGATTTTGAACAGAGGCCCTTGGTTCTGAGCACTAAGTGATGAGTCACAAGTAGCAGAAAAGCTGTTCCAATGATTGGGATGTCTTTAAGTTTTCATTTCACATTGGCAGGAAAATAAGACGTTACCTTGTTAAGAAGCGGATGCTGCACTAGAGTTGAATTTTCCTACAGAAAAAAAGTACAACTAAGAAACACCAAACCCTGCCAAACACCTCAGGTGTCTGTACAAGACTTAGAGCAGAAGACTCAGGCTAATATGAGGGGCTGGAGGGTTACTGTGGGTGTTTTGCCACTGCTGCTAAGGAAAACACCCATATCCACAATCATGTACAGAGTGTAGAAAATTCCTCCGAAGCTGCAGTTACTGCTTGGAACCTCCTTGCCTCCAACTTCTCATAAAATGGGATATCCAGCCATAAGTTAACAGCTTTTTTGCCAAACATCTAAAATGTTATCAGATCAACAGAAATGTGAAATAATTAGATCCATTTATTCTTCAGTCTTTTTCTTTCCTTCCCTGCCTTGAAGCATTCAAAGAAAACAGGGTTTGCATCTGTGGATTTGTTTGTTCAGTCCCAGAAACATCAGAGAAGCTGAAACAAATTGCTTTGAAATCTTCTGCTCTGTAACTTGGTGGCTCAGGCTGAAGAGCAATTTGTTGATTTGGTGGTCTCATTCAGCCATGAGACAGAAATGTGGATTTAATTATTGACACAGTTCAAACCCTCTTTTGGGATTTAATCTTGGCCTGTAGGATCAGGGTTTGAATGAGTCAGTCATAGTTACACAAATACTGGGAAAGGGGAATGTATGCTATCTACACAGAGTGAAAGTTAACATTAGGGTGTTTGTTTTTTGATAAACTCCTACAAGTTTTTTCACTCAGATTTTCCTGTCATGCCTTAAAATTTAGTAAGTTGATATGAAGGAAAATAAATCCTCCCATGATGACCTTTCCATCTGCATGCTTTGTATCTGATGAGAAATTCACTTTATATTACTTTCTGTTAAAAATGTAATAATCCTCTGCAAGGAATATAGAGTTTGGCTGAAGTCAAGATTCTGCTCTTCTTTGGCTGTGGTTTCATGGTTCTTTCTTCCTTATAGCTCATGCATGGAATTTGCAACCAAGAAATTAGAAATATGATCAGTTTCTGTTTAAGAAAAGCTGCAGGTCACCTGTATTTATGAGGCATACCAACAAAACCATACACAGTAAATAGATTAAATGCAGATGTACTAGATAATCTTTCATTCTTCCCAAACTGCAACATTAGAAGAAAAATGTACTCAATACAATTCATGAATCTGAGCTCTATCCCATGTCTGGGCTACAGGAGATCCCATTTATGGGCTATGCCTGCTGTGATATATTTACCTCAAATTACTGTGGCCACCTGCACTGACCATATTTCCCATGTGTGGGATTTTCCAGGCTGGCACAGGCTGACAGGGTAGGGTAAGGCTCCCAAGCAGTCCTTTTTTCCCTGGCAGAACGTTTACATAACATTTTTCCCACCTAGCATTTTAATTTATTTTTATTTATGTATTTGACCTGTTAAAAGAAGTGCAGTGGCAGAGTAAACACCCTAAGGATATAACATATTAAGGGGACAACTACTCTAGAAAAAAAAATTTACTCCACTCTGGGGGATGCCTTTGAGAGCTGGGATCCTGTGGATCCCAAAACAATGCATTTCCCTACAGCCAGTCACAGTTTGGTTCAGAGGCTCTGTGGTGACTGCAGTGTAGATGTTTGGCATTTTTCCAACTCTGTCTAAACTGGGCTTACTGCCAGCAGGTTGTACCAGTAAGTCATTAGCCGGGGCACCCAAAAGCAAGTTTTATTTCACTGAACTATTTGTAGCCAAAATGTGGTCAGTTGTTTCAAAATGTTTATTGCATTTTTAAAATAAAAAGCCACAGGGGCTGTTGTTGTTCATCTGGTTTTCTTATGACACAGCTTGTAAGACTTTGCTTAATTAATTCCTGCTAGAACTGGAGCTTGTCTTCTAGACAACATCTGGACTTGATTTCTATGTGGTGTATATTTTGATCTCTTCCCTTAAAGAGCAGATATTGATCAAATTCAGTGACCTGTAAATAAAAGCCCCTGGTTCAATTCCTGATCAGCAAATTTCAGACCTAAGGTAGAGAAAATAATTGACTATTGCCCACATGTAAAATTACTGAAGTGGGGAGATACTTCTGAAATGGCCTTGAAAGAAAACCAATCTATGTATGCAGCCTCCATTCATAAGATCTTGATGGCCCAAGCCTTAAATGTCAGCCAGCAGCATTTCAACTGGTCAATCCCCAACTATATTTGGATTGGAATTTTTTTAGTTGCATTGCTTTGATAGATAATAGGATTTTCTTGGACTGTTTTATAATGTGAGGTACAGCAAAACATTAAATAACACTATTGTCAAGTCCTCCGTTATTTCATTCAAACTTGCTTCCTGTGAACCCTTCTACATCCTTAGCACAACAAATCCTGAATAAATGCATTTCCATTTAGACACTGCATTTGCTATGGTAGTAACACTGATAATAAATATCTTATCGATACCAGTTAATTTGCAGCAGATATCCAGTTGAACCACAATTTTCATTTTGTGGGTGTGGAAAGTGAGACACAGAACAGATGGCTATTTGAAGCCTGGGGCCACCTGGCACGCATGCCACTGGGAACAGGAACAGGCTGAAAGGTGGAAGGGATTGTCACAGGACACAAGATGACCACTACTGAGCCTGGGGCCAGACCCCAGCACCTCAGCACTTTCTGTGCCCCTTGCAGAGCTCTGCATTCCTGCTCTGCTCCAGGCAGCCTGCTCAGGAGCACCTTAGGTTTGTTCACACTGCCCTGGAGACACCCTGGAGTAAAGGCAAAATGACTCTGCTCCATCCACAGAGATGTGGCTCCTCCTCCACCCGGCCCAGCTCTGCTGTTTGTTCTGGGATGAGAATGAGGAGATTTTGGCCAAATCCCCACCTTTTTTACGTGGTCCCATTTAAAGTGGTTTGCAGCTCAGATAGGAGCAGGATCCAAGAGATACTGTGCTCCTCTCTTTATAGAGTCTGCTAATGGTGAAGACCTTTCTGTTCCAGTTCCTTCTCAATGAATGTATCTGCAGGACAACTTCTTCAGCACTGAATTTCTCTCTTTATCTAAAGAGTCAGAGGCCCAAGGAACTTCTGGAGCTCCTGGAGCTGACCAGTATACACTGGGCATGTTTCTTGTAGCACTTTTTTCTTTCATACAGTCAGTACCCAGGGAATTGCATCATTTGGGATACATCTAAACTGTCTTAATGGTCTACTTGAGAAACAAAGCCCTGTGAGGGGTGGTCCCAGATGCTGGGCAGAGCATGTCAGACAGTGGGCTCCTGCAGATGGGGCTGAGAATGCTTCCAGTCTGATGGTTGATGCTTGAGCTCTCTCCAGACATGGCTCAGCAGGTGGGCTCTGGGCTGGCCACAAGGCAGCCATCCACTAGAAAAGGGAGAATTTGCACACAGAGCAGGTAGCTACCCCTGTGGCCTCCTACCAAAGGCTCTGTAAACTCATGGGAATGTGCTTGTCTTAACCCTTTGCATCAGAGCATGACATTCTCAAAGTATTAGTGTTGTGTCTCAAGAGAACCAGAACTGAATCATGTCCCTCTTTGCTGCTACTGGAAGAAATATGATTCCTCACACATAATTTGTTTTAATCTGACTCATTAAAAGAAAGATATATAGGATAGAGTGTCAGGCATCACTTTTTGTTATCATCTGCTTTACTGACAATATCCTTCCTGTCTACATCCCATGTGAATTCCCTAGGCAGGAAGATATTTCTGTCTCAAACCACATACTTTGAACCAATGCTCTTCATTTTTACCACATCAGCACTGTAGAGAGTAAGTATATTATGTTTTAATCAGTTTAGGATTATGTCGGAGCCTTTTTTCCTGCTGTGCTCAGCTCAGTGACCAGCAGTGAGGAGCTCAGTGCTGCATCTGCTCTTGCTGCGCATATACATTGTTTCAGCACCAGCACCTTTGTTTCCACTGCTGTCCAGGTCTTCTAGTCACATTATAAACCTTAAAAAAATTGTATACAGAATATTGTTTACTAACACGTGGTGTTTAGCAGGTAGCTGAAACATCCTCAAAATCCTGATGATTAAGCACACACCAGCACATGGGGCGCGCTGGTGCTTGGATTCCACTTGCCCCGTGTCAAGAGAAGCGCTGCAGGAGCTGCGGCCCGGAGCTTCCCGGGAGCCGCCGCTGTGTCCCTGCTCCTTGGGCGGCTCAGGAGTGACCGGCCTGGCAGCCCGGAGCGGGAACCTGCACGTTTTGAACGGAGAGGAAACAAAATGTGGCCAGAGGTGAAGACGAGAAGCCTGAACGGGCCAAAAGAAAGGAGATACAAGAGAGATCTGCACGGCCGAAGCGGTCCCCGTGGGCTGGGGCCCCGGCGCTGCACACGGTGCGCCCGTCCGGGGCTGCCACCCCCTCAGGCACGGTCCGCTCAGCAGGGACCCTGCACATCCCTCGATCCAACGCCCTGCCGGACAGGGGCACCTTGCACAGCCCGGGTTGCTCCGAGTCCTGCCCAACCTGGCCTTGAGCACCTCCATGGCCGGGACCTGAAGCAGGACCGCGTCCGGCACCGGGTCCGGCACCGGGTCCGGCACCGGGTCCGGCACCGGGTCCGGCACCGGGTCCGGCACCAGCCCCGCCCGGGCCCCGCCGCTCCCCGGCCCGCGCCCTCGGCCGCGCCTGCGCGGGCGGGCCCGTGGCTCCCGGCGTGCGCGGGGCGCATGCGCAGACGCGGCGCTGCTGGTCGGGCAGGGCGAGCGGGGAGCGGCGGCCGCCCGGGTGAGGGGAGCGGCTGCGGCGCGCCGGGCCGGGCCGGGGGAGCCGGGCTGGGCTCGGGCGGGCACAGCCCTCCGCGGCGGGAGGAGGAAGACGGGGCTGGGTTGACGCCCGGCCGGCCGGACCCCGGCGGGTCGCGGGGGGCCCGAAGCCCCGCTGGTGCCGGGCGGCGGTCGGGCCGGCAGCGCGGTGCTGCCGGGGCAGCCTCCGGGGCTGGGCGCGGCGCTGAGGGCCGGGGGAGCGGCGGGGCTGGGCTGGGTGTTCGGCCAGCGCCCCGCTCTGCTGAGCAGCCCGAAAACGGAGACTTGGGAAAGTTCGCCTGCAGAGCCGGTGCCCGTAGTCTTTCGGTTTGCTGCGTGTGCTTGCCGCGGCTCGCTCGGCGCCCGACTCCCCGCGGTCCGTGGCGGAGGGATGCCTTTCCGGGGCGCGGTGCTCTGCGGCTCCCGCACCGGGCCCGGCAGCTCCCGTGGCCTCCCGTTCGCCCCTGCACAAGGCTTGTCCCGAGAGCTGCGCGCGGAGCTGTCGGGGGCTGCTCTGAGAGCCTGGCGCTCTGCGGGTAGGCGCAAGTTGTGTTGAAATAAGTGATGTTCCAGGGAGGTTGCCGCGTACGCTAAGTTTGCTGCAATGTATTGGATCAATCCTCGTAACTAAAGTTTGGCTACGGTGTCAGGTGTCGAGAGCTTGAAAGGCAGCCAGTGATGTAAGGGAGGATCTGACTTGTACTCAGAAGTAATAGAATGGAAATGAACTAAATTTCTTCTGCTGTTCCGTTCCAGGCTTGTAAGTTTTGCCTCTTTTCTGCAATGGATAAAAGATAACTGAATGTTTCAATAAACATTCAGGTAGCTTGCATCTGATGTTTCTTTTTGACTAAGACACCAGCAGGAAATTCCTCCAGGAGCAGATACTGTATATTAATGGACAGCAGGTTTCTATCAAAGAACATCCAGGTATTTTCTGAAAAAAAATATGCCTAAACATCCCTTATCCTGGCCAGTCAGTAGCTTCCTGCATGTTGGGTTAGAGAATGGACAGCTGGAGTGGTGATTCCTGACTGCGGAACTTCTCGGGGCACCTGGGATTTTTATCTTATCCCAGCCTTGTATTTATTTGGTATTGTAACACCTGCCCTGCAGCAAGTTTTGGTGAGCATGCCTGGAAGTGCCATGGATGTGCTGAACTGCTGCCACTTCTATACCCTGTGCAGCTTGCCAGGTACTGGCTTTGGGGCTCCAGGCCCTGCCACTCCTGCTGTTGCCTGGGCTGAGTGGGAATGTCTGTTTAGCCCTGCAATGTGGGTGACCAGTATTCAGGAACAGGCACACAGGAGTAAGTTTTTGGGACAATGCCAACTTGGCAGCTTAGCCATCACTTGGAGCACCCTGTCTGCAAGAGAGCTGTGTCCAGTTCTGTGGCATTGTACACAGGATATATAAAAGAGCAAAGTGGGCTTTGGTTGCAGGTGCCCTCTGATACAGAAGAGGAGCTTGCAGGAACAGATGTGTTCAGATTCCTTCATTATGGAAGCATCTTCATGGTCTGTGTAGTTACTCTGCAGTAGCTGCCTGTCCCCCTTCACTCCCTGGGTCACTGTGTGGGCAAATGTGAAATTAGGGAAGCTCAGTTTGCCATCTATAAAGCTTAGTGAATTGTCTCTTTGAACAGAATGAAGCCTTGAGCTTGCTTTCCTAGGAGAATACTCCAGAACAGTTGTGTCTTCCTGCCTGGAAAACAGTTTACCCTGACAAGAAGTGCAGGCAAAGGCGAGCTGCCACCTGCTGGCTCCGTGAGGGTCTGGGCTGGGGGATGTCTGCTCCTTCCGGGGCAGGACAGCCCGGATCCTGTGCCCCAGCCCAGGCTGGGGGTTTGGAAACCTCAGGTGGGTTTCTAGAAGCTTTCTGCTAAGAAAGACAGTATTGGGCTGTTCAGTAGACTTATAAGGCATTACAAAAATATTCTAAGGAACCTGCTGGGATTATGGTAGTATTTATATTTACTCATTTTTCTCCTTGCTTCAGTAAGTAAAGATAGCTCTTTCAAGTGCAGTACATTCTTCATAAACAGTTCTGTATAATCTTGCACACAGGAAAATAGAGTTGTTGCCATTGTAGGGGTTCCCTGGGGAAATGCTCAGATTAGGTCCTCCAAGCAGCTGGGAGGAGTGGTGCAGGAATGCTGACAGCCCTGCAGACCCCGCTGCTCCAGAGCCCGCTGCTCCGCCGGGTTCACCCAGAGGCTGGGGGAAGGAGGCTCATGAGGAGCAAATGAGATTAAAGTGAGCTCTGAATGTGCTGGCCAAACCCAGCTCAGTTTGTTTTTCATGATGTTGCTTCTATTTTAAAATCCAAGTCACGGAAGCCACTTACAGTGGACTTTAACAACACTGTCGTTTCCTGTGGGCAAGTTATATCTAAAAAGTTTCTGCTGTTTGTGTCCCAAGAAATTATATTCTTGAATATAACAGAAATTTCAGGAGGGCAAGGGGTGGAGTTTTTAAAAGATAATTGGAAGCCAGCTATTTTTAGAATCTTCTGGTTTTAAAAATATACTTTCAGAGAGGAGGGGAGAAAAAATGTTTTGGCTTGTGCATAAGAAGTGTGTGAAAGTTGTTTGACAGTCTTTCAAGTGATTATTCAGGTAATGATATAAAGTCAAGTCACTGCTGTTTTCTTATTTCTTTAGTTCTTCATTGATTTCCCAGGCATGGGAATAATGGCAAGATTTTTTTCTCTGTGATGTCCAGCAGAATTTCTTCCTTTCTGATTTTTCAGCTTCTCTTCTGCTTAACAAACAGGGAATTGACATTTGATGGACTGGAAGTGATGGCTTTCTTTCCATTTCTCTAAATGTGACTATGAAGTTGCTGGAGTGCAGAACTTCACATTACAGTTATTTGTCTGAGAAAGAATACTAACTCTTGGACTTTTATGCAATGTTTTCATGGTAAAGCTAAGAAGGGTACTTAAAAGTAAACTAGCTCTGCTCATGAAAAAAGGTCAAAGTATTTGCAAAGCCAAAATTGATGGTTACAGTTTTTCCCATGATTTTCCATTAAGAAGACATATATATATATATATATATATATATAACATGCCACAGATATTCACAGGCCAAGTATCTGCCCTTCTAAAAGCTTGTAGTTTGTTATGCATGTGTCTCTACACTGAACTGCTACAGCGAGTGATGGAAAGCAAATAGAGCACTAAGTGTGTTTAATGGGAGGTGAAAGGCTAGTTTGATTAGATTAGGGTTTTAGCTGGCCTTTATGCCCTTTTTAGGCAATGAGAATTCCTTACACTATGTTTTAAAACCTGATATTTAACATGTTGTATGCAAGCGTTGTATATGCTGTGTTTTCTTTTGTAGGGAATGTTTCTGAGTGTGGTTGCCAAGCAATCTCAGTGTGCTAACCAGTGCTCCCATCATACAATTTAAAGGTGTCTCACATTAAGGATGCTTTCATATTAAAAAAAAAATATCCCTGATAGATATTAGAAAACATGTCCAAAACTCTTTAAATTTGCCAGGCCACATATGATTCCCTTCTTGCTGAAATGAAGCCTCAGTTACAGCAACTGGGTTTTTTTTTGTTCTGCTACTTTATTTTTCACTTTTGTGTGGGTTTGTGTGAGCACGGTACTTGAGGACTTGATTTGACTTCTTTGGTCATATACAAACAAGTGAGACTAAGGGCTGTGACCTGAAGATTAATTAATGCATTACAAAGGATGAGTAGTTTTCCAATATGAAACATCCCAATGCAGTAAATAAAAGGTAATTAATTCTGGATGACAGCATTTTATGGCAATTAATGGAGAGGAAATACAGATGATGTAGATGAAAATAATGTATGGTTATGCAGTGCATCTCTTTCAGAGTAAGGGCAGCATTATTCTGCAACTTACTAACCATTCTGCTCCTTTTAATTACCTGTTAAAACTACACCTTTTAATATTTGAATGCAAATGGACATGCAGAAATGTGGTAAATAGCAGTGTCTTGATGTAGGGCTTGGACGGTGCAGCCTGGTCACAAAGAGCAATGTGGAACAAGCTGCAGGAAATGTTTTTCTCCTGTGATCCTGTGTAATGGCTTGAACTGTAAGGAAGGGCAGAACATTAAGGCTCCAGCAATGAGAAGTTCACATGCAGATTGTGTGGCATCAGCTAATTGTCCGTCAGCTGCTTGCACCTGGAGAAACAAATACACCAGACTGTGAAAACTGTAGGAGGTGGCTCTCTAGGCCACAGAGTTGCTCCTTTAATTACTTTTGGAACTTAGGAAAACATAGGTGTGCATTTTCTGCAGCCAATAATTTGGATGTCTCTAGTTCTGTGGCCTCTTGCTGTAGGTCTGGGCTCATCCAGCATTATTTGGTTTAGTTCAGAGGAAGCCAGCATTCTTTTGATATAATTTACCATAAAAATTAGAATTCCTCATTTTGTTTGAGAGAGCTTTGCAAAGATCAGCTTCAGTCCCATCAGTGTCAACTGTAGTTCACAGTAAAGCTC